AATTTTTTTGCAGAAAAAACGCTATTCATAATAGCGATTTCAGTTCAAATTTTGTTCCAAAAAAACGCTATTTCTAATAGCGATTTTAACAGAAATTTTTTTTTTAACATAAACTTTGTTGGAATAAAACGCTATTTTCAAGATAAAACAAAAGAAAAAAACATAAAGCAATTATCATGTTAAAATATGTTTTTTTTTTTCTTTTGTTTTTGTTTAGAATGTGTAATTTATAAATTTTACATAATATGAAAAAAAACCTCTTCTCATATATTAATTTTACATACTATTTTTCATATATATAATTTCAAAATCATATTCATGTAGATTATTGAATTTTTTTTGGGAAAATTTTACATAGCGATTTAGCTATTATAAAAAATGTAATTAAAGCTCATTTAACTTGAAACAATTCGCTATGAAATAATGAAAAATCGCTATGTAAAATTAATATACTATTGATAATAGCTAAATGAGCTTTAATTACATTTTTTATAATAGCTAAATCGCTATGTAAAATTTTCCCAAAAAAAATTCAATAATCTACATGAATATGATTTTGAAATTATATATATGAAAAATAGTATGTAAAATTAATATATGAGAAGAGGTTTTTTTTCATATTATGTAAAATTTATGAATTACACATTCTAAACAAAAAAAAAGAAAAAAAAAAACATATTTTAACATGATAATTGCTTTATGTTTTTTTCTTTTGTTTTATCTTGAAAATAGCGTTTTATTCCAACAAAGTTTATGGTAAAAAAAAAATTTCTGTTAAAATCGCTATTAGGAATAGCGTTTTTTGGAACAAAATTTTAACTGAAATCGCTATTATGAATAGCGTTTTTTCTGCAAAAAAAATTATGTTAAAATCGCTACTATAAACAGCGTTTTTTGGGGAATTTGTTTTTGTTAAAATCGCTATTGATAATAGCGTTTTTTTGCAACAAAAATTTGTGTGAAAAGCGCTGTTAAGAACAGCGTTTTTTATTGGGAAAAAAATAACCCTAGAAGCGCTATTTGTAATAGCGACTTATTAATAAAAGTCGCTATTTGTAATAGCGATTTTACTGTTCACCTACTTTTCCGCTCCTAACAGTGAAAGCGCGAATAGTAATAGCGTTTTAACTTAGTTTTGGAATTCCGTCAGAAGTTGGCCTAGTTTTGGAAATACGATACAAAAATGGCTTATATTGGGAAATGTCCCCTATTCCTATCCCTTCGTAATCACAGCCACCAATCAAAATGTAATGTTGACCATGTAGCACAATCTTCAACAACTACTCACTTGCAGAGCTTCTTTAAACTGTTTGTTTTTGATGAGTTTCTGACTTTTCAGATCCTTTACAATTCCAAAGTTGTTTGAAGTTTGCAGAGTTTCAGTCTGTTTTTGATCTCTGTATTGCTTCGTTTCTTACCTTTCATATCTTTTATCTGCCAAAGTTGTTCCAAGTTTGTAGAGGTAGCAATGAGATGAGACTCCATTATTATTATTGACTTCTTTTTTCTTCATACCCCTTCTTTCACCAATTCCTCATTTTGACTCAATTTCTTACCTTTACCACCAAAGTTTGTTCCAAGTTTGTAGAGGTTCTTCAGTCTATTCTTGATATCTGTATTGCTTGGTTTCATTACCTTTCCTTCTTTCAGAACAAACACCATGGATGTATTTGGGATCTTTATCTCTCCATTTGTGCAAGCCATGGTTGATAAATTGTCCTCTTATTTAATCAACTTAGTGAGTACAGCGGAAGTTGGCACTAGCATCCAGAATCTGAAGAAGGCATTAGAGGATTTAGAGACTCTGTTGGCTGATGCAGAGAACAAACAAGTGTACGACAAGGATATCAAAAATTGGCTAGAAGAGGTTCAACCTTTGGCTTACGATGCAGATGACTTATTGGATGATTTTGCCACTGAAGCTCTCGAAAGGAAGCTAATGGCGGAGGAGACGACAATGGGAAGAAGATCAGCTAAGTTTCCACGCCTCTCTTCTATTGTTCCATTCAATTTAAAAAATGGGTCTAAGCTAAATGAGATTACTAGTCAATTACAAGAAGTTGCTACAAAAGGAAAAGATCTTGGTTTAGATAAAAGACTTGTTGGGAGGATGTCTACAGGTCTATGGCAGAGATCACAAACTACATGTTTGAAGGAGCCTCACATTCATGGCAGAGATGAAGACATGAAGCAAATTATCGAATTGCTACTTGGGGATGCACCTACTGCAAAAAGGTTTGATGTAATTCCTATTGTAGGCATGGGTGGGATCGGCAAGACTACACTAGCTCAGCACATTTACAATCACGACCGAGTGGAAAATCATTTCAATCTAAAGGCATGGGTATGTGTGTCTGATGACTTCGAAGTTATGAGAATAACAAAGGCAATTCTTGAGTCATTCACTCACAGTTCATTTAATTTTAGTAACTTAAATGAGGTTCAAGTTCAACTTAGCAAAAGGTTGGCAGGGGAAAAGTTTTTGCTTGTCCTAGATGATGTGTGGGACTACGGACGTGATGGGTGGAATTTGTTACAATCCCCATTTAGAGCTGGAGCACTTGGAAGTAAAATCATTGTGACAACTCGAGACAGAGGTGTTGCAAAGCAGATGGGAATGGATAAATATCACAATTTGCAGAACTTATCATATGGTGATTGCTGGTTAATCTTTTCCCAACATGCATTTCAGAACAGAAATATTGAGGAATACCAAGAATTGGAATCAATTGGTAAGAAAATTGTTGAGAACAGGTGCAGAGGCTTACCCTTGGCAGCGAGGGCCCTTGGCAGCTTATTATGCTGTAAACAAGAAGAACATGAATGGAAAGAGATACTAAACAACAATATATGGAATGAGGAAAGTGGCATTCTCACAGCGTTGAAATTGAGCTACCTTCATCTCCCTGTCCATTTGAAGAGGTGCTTTTCCTACTGTGCAATTATCCCAAAGGACTACGAATTCATGGAGGAGGAATTAGTCTTGCTATGGATGGCTGAGGGTTTAATTGAGGAACCAAACGGTGGAGACCAAATGGAATATTTAGGCCGCAAGTATTTTCACGAATTGGTGTCAAGATCATTTTTTCAACCGTCAAGTGGTAACAAATCGCAATTCATAATGCATGACCTCATTAATGATTTGGCTCAAGATGTCGCAGGGAACAAATGTTTTAGGTTGGAGAATTATTTGGAGTATGGCAGGCATAACAAGATTTCGAAAAAAGCTCGACATTCATCATACGTTGGTAGCCATTATGACGGAATCAAAAAATTTAAAGTTTTTGATGATGCCAAATGCTTACGAACATTCTTACAGTTTTTTCCACCGAGTACGTATACATCGAGGTACTTGTTTCATGATTTGTTGCCAAAGTTAAAATGCTTACGTGAGTTGCGTTTACATTGTTATCACATGGATGAACTACCAAATTCCATTGGAAATCTAAAGCATCTACGATACCTTGACGTATCCCATTCTAATATTCAAAAGTTACCTGAGTCGGTGGTAACTCTCTACAATTTACAAGTCTTGTTTTTGAAATTTTGTGGACTACTTCGGAAGTTGCCTCTAAACATGGGAAGGCTAGTAAACTTGTGCCATTTTGACATGACTGGCGTGGATATTTCATCATCAGAAAAGATGTCACTACATATAGGTAAATTAACTAATCTCCAAACGTTGTCAAATTTTATAGTGGGTAAAGATTGTGGGCGTAAAATAGGAGAGCTGAAAAACTTATCACACATTCGAGGGGCAATACACATATCAAGAATGGAGAATGTCAGTGGTGTTAAGGATGCAATGGATGCCAATTTAATGTCTAAGGAGGAGTTAAAAGAGTTATCACTAGAATGGGATGAATCTCACCGTTCACTGAATGACATAGTTGAGAGGAATGTGCTTGACGTGATGAGGCCTTTCAAATTGTTGGAACGACTCACCATCAGTGGGTATGGCGGTACAAAATTTCCAAACTGGGTTGGAGATGTTTCATTCTCCAAAATGGTGTTCATGCGATTAAAAGGTAGCAAATGTTGCAGATCTTTGCCACCACTTGGACAACTACCCTTGCTTAAAGACCTTTACATTGGAGGAATGAGTGCAATAGAGCGCTTGGGTTGTGAGTTCTATGGGCAGCAGTGTTGTGCCAAACCTTTCCCCTCTCTAGAGAGACTGAGCTTTGAGTTTATGCCAGAATGGGAGGATTGGTCTGCTTTTGAAACAGAGGGAGTTCAGCCTTTCCGTCATCTCAGTGAGCTTTCCATCATAAATTGTCCCAAACTTGTTGGAAGATTACCAAATGATCTTCCTTGTCTCAATTCTCTCAAAATTGATGGTTGTCCGCAGTTGTTGATTGATGTTTCGAGCCTCGTTCAGCCATCACTTGCATCCTTGTCAATGAATAATGTTATGCTCCCAAGCCTTCCAGCACTCTTAGGGACGAAGAACACGATTGAACTTGGTTCCCTCACCTTGGATGTTAGCCGTGTCACAGTTCCCGACTCCCTCTGTGATCCAAGCACAATTGATGAAGAGTTACTGGCTACTGAAATGTCTAAGCATTTGACTTCAATAACTGCTTTGAGCATTTTTCATGTTGAAAAATTGGCGTTCCTACCAACATGGTTTACTCGAGATTTGATGGGACTCGAGAAATTGGAGATTGGTAACTGCGAAGAACTCATAACATTGTGGCAGAATAAGGTGGGAATACAAGTATGTCTCCCTTCCCTCTGCCATTTAAAGATTTCTCATTGCCCCAAACTTGTTTGCTTGTTTGAAGAAGAGCAAGAAAATGGAGGAGAAGGTTTGAAAAAGCAGCAACATGAGGGGCTGCCGTGCATGCCGAGACTCGAGTATTTAATAATTGAAGAGTGTGGAATGCTGAAGAAACTGCCACAAGATCTGCACACATACACATCTCTTGGGGTGCTTAGAATTGACAGTTGTGCAAGTCTGATCTCTTTTCCAATGAAAGGTTTGCCATCTATGCTGAGAGAACTTGGGGTTTCAGGGTGTGATGCTTTGGAGTCCCTACCCGAGTTGATGACACTCAATAATCTGCAAGAGTTGCAGGTTTCTAGGTGTAAATCACTCACATATTTATTGTCAAGAGGTGGGCTACCATCCACAAACAACTTCGGATTGATTCGTGTAAAAGTCTGGAGTCAATTTTTGCAGAGGAAGGGATCAAAATTGATTGTCCATCTCTTGAAAATATTGAAATTTGGGGTTGCAGGAGTCTCAAATCTTTACCTGAAGCCAATAATCTCAAGAATCTCAGTGAATTGGAGATATGCGGTTGTTCTAATCTGGAGCCCCCGTCACTTGGTGGTCGTGATGAGAACAACAACATCAACCAACTCACTTGGCTTCAAAAGCTGTGTTTAGTTAATTGCAGAGCAAGAATGGTCTCCTACTTTGTCAAGGAAGGGAGTTTCCCCACCCACATCACTTTACTTCAAATCGGGAATTTGAGAGTGGACGACGTGGGTCAACTTCCAGTTCCGCCTCCATCTCCATTAGAGTGGGGTTTGCACAAACTCTCTTCTCTTACAAGACTCAACCTTCATGGCGGAGGTTGGCCGAGCGGAGATACGGTGTCCTTTCCAGAAGAAGGGATGTTCCTGCCCACCTCTCTCATCACTTTGTCCATCTCTTGGTTCCCAAATCTGGAAAGACTCTCTTATGAGAAGTTTCAAAACCTTACCTCTCTCGAAACACTTCATATCTTGTTTTGCCCTAAGCTCGCGTCCTTTCCAAAGGAAGGGTTGCCTCCCTCTCTTTTGCATCTATCGATCTACGATTGTCCTAAGCTTGCCTCTCTCCCTCTCTTTCCAGAACAAGGCTTCCCTCCCTCGCTTTTGTCACTGGTGATCAAACCATGTAATCCAATACTGAAACAGAAGTGTGAAAAGGGGAAAAAATATTGGCCCATCATCCAATACATTCCTAAAGTAGATTTCGAAGCATAAGCAGCCACCTGCAAGGTACAAACAAACAAATTCAAAATATGTCCTACCATTTTTATTTATTTATTTATATTCTCATTACCAATTTCAGATTTTTATCACAACTGAGGATTTATTTATATTTGCATCCTCTACCATCATAATATAAAAATAAAAAAAGTACAATTAAAAATAATAAATTTTAAATTTTAAATTTAAACTTTGAATTTAAAATTTGATCTTATACATATCAAATAATTTGTTTGAGTTTAACATTTAAATTTTTATCAAACAACTTTTTAACTTACAAACAAGCAAACACAAAATCTGTCATACCTATATTGGAGCATGTATATATTTTATATATTAAATTATATATATAATTATATTCTAAAAATTATTTTTTTCTATTTAGTTAGTTGTAATATATTTGTTAAAATATGAATTTTTGTTGGAGATTGATATCAACTACAAATTGTCTTTATTAAGTATAAATAAAAATTATGTAAATATAAAGTACTATAATAAGTTTGAGTTGTTTTTCTTTTATTTCTTTAAGATTTATATGCTTGAGAGATTCTATCTCAGTTGAAAGCAAGTTTATTCCTAAAAATGAGCGAGTTTCTTGCTGGTTTCTTATTTGAAAGCGTGGAATTGTGTTTCTTAAGAAGCATCACCAAATTAAGAGTTTCTTGCTACTATGGTCTGTGCTACTATGGTCTAGTCAACTCAAATTGATCATTTTGTGGCTTCAACTACATCTCCACATCAGCTCTTCTATTTTTCACCTGTATCAACACACAACAATGTTTTTACGTTCATTCCTTTTTCTTTTCCTTTCAAATATTTCTTTTTCCTTTTTTTATCTATATACCTCTAAATGGATGAATTTCATTCTCATTTTTATTTTATTTTTACCCTGACTCTACTACAGGCATGTAGTCGTGACTTTGAATACTATGCTCTTTTTGTTGTTCAGCTTGTAAAAGTTTATTTTTCTATATTTTCTCAATTTTCTGTGAAAAAATATAGAAAATATGCCTTGTTTGGTTTAGCTTTGAAAACAATTTTTGAGAGCTCAAAACCCAAAATTTGTTTGGTTTACAATTTTTCCAAAATTGTTTTCAATCACTTTTTCTATCTCATATTCTCTTCTCTCACATCCTGCACATCAATCAACTACTTTTTCTTTCACACCCATCTATTCAACTATAAAAAAATTTCAAATCATTCCAAACTACAAACCTACAAAACTAATTTCAATATATACAACCAAATAAATTTTCAAATTTTGAAAACTCTTTTCAATTTTATCTTTCAAAACTAAACCAAACGCAGCCTTTGTGGATAGTTTAAATGGTGAAACCCACTAACTATTGTTGTTATCACCCTTTTGTTCTCCAGGGCTTTGTTGTTGTGGAAACAAACTTTAGGATGTATTCATACTTACTGTCTAAGCTGCATTGCAAGATTTTGTGCCTCTTTTCAAGGTATGCCAGAATTATTCTTGGTAAAGACTGGCTGCTCTGATTTAACTCAATGCTTTTTGGCTTTGGAGAGAGCTACAATTTTGAATTCAATAGGTCACTATTTTTTGAGTTTGAGTTGTCATGAGTTTTTTTTTTTTAATTTCTTTTCAGAATATATTCATATACTATTGTCCAGTCATGGTAAAAGCTCTCATAAGTAACAAAGGAGTAAGAAATATATGAAGAAAATTGAGAATAAAGTCCTTTCCTGAGACTACAATTGTAAACGCCTCCCTACTGCACATTGTCATGCAAGACTTTTGATCATTAAGGCTTCCATGCCTTGCAAGAAGGGAAATTTTTTTAATATCAAGTTGTATTTTTTAACCATCCTACTTGCATGCTGGACTACATTTGACAGTTACAAAGCCACACATAATCTTGTCAAAATCCATGTGCGCAATCTGTTCTAGTAGTTGGAGGGATTTAGGCTTCCTTTATTAAATGGGAGTTGAGAAGCCATCTACCCTACTTGGAGTATTATTTAGAATTCAAATACTGGGCAAATATTTGAAAAAATATAGGAAACTATTAGAAATTGGTATACCGTATAGAGTTTTTGTGTTTGTTTGTTTAAATTTACATGTTGATTTGTTTAGACTTGTCATGAAGTGGGCAATATGGAAAACAATAAGAATAAAACATAAAGGGAAGTTCATCTAATAATAACAAATAGTTCTCTAATGTTTGATAAAATCAGGTTCTTTTCCGGATGGGGTTGACCAAAGACTGAAGTGTCTTAGCAAACACTAGAGAGAAATCCTCGCTACTTTGCCATTCCAAAAATCTTCCGGCAAACTCCAAAACATGAAATATTAAAAAATGTTTGGAATGAGAGTCTTAGCTTTAGATATCTTTATTCTACTAGATCATAGGATATTTAAAAAATAGTCGATTACACTGTACAAGCTTGGTGCCACATTAGGAAGATATTGCTTATAGTTTGTATTTCCCTAAATGCTATTCATCAGTGAAGGGATAAGCTTGTCATTCATCAATGAAGGGACCAGTTTTGGCTTGAAAATGTAGGGTAGAATATCAGCTTCCAAATCTCATACTGTTTCTGAATTTACTAAAGAAAACTTGTATAATGCTTTCAAAAATGGTATTACAACAGAACATGCAAGTATTAATTCCTACTTGTTTGTAATTTTTAATCTTATCTTTTGAGACCAAACTTTTTCTTAGCTACTCTAACAGGTAAAACACGAAATAATTAAGCTAAAAAAAATGAAAGGACTTCCAAGTAATGATAGTTAATGAAATGATAAAATTTGGCCCTTTACTTGTGGTTTCCTTTAAAAGAGCTTGAGCTTGGTTGCAATTTCAATTTATTTTTTGTTAAGCAAATTTGCTTGCCTTCTAGGATATAACTCATTTCCACTACAATTGTGTTCATGTATATTACTTCAAACATCTTATCAACTTATGGATTTGTTTCCATATCTTGCAGTAAGTTTTTGAGGATGCTTGCAACTTTGCTGGAGAATATGGGGGTTTGTTATGGAAAGATTCAAGGTAGATGGCAAAGAAGGCAGAAATACTAGTGCACATCTGAGAATTCCCACGTGATCAAAGGCAATAGAAAGCACGGAAAAGGAAAGAAACAAGCAGAGAAGAGAGAAATTGTACATAGTTGCTTTTTGGCTGCTTAGCTTGGTGGGATGGGATTTTAATAAAGCTCTTTGAGCTAAGCAAGGTTGGCGGTGCTTACTATCCAAATTCAAATTTTCTTGAAGCTAGTTTGAGGAGTAACCCATTGACATTGTTTAGAGGAGTATTTGGAGTGCAAAGTCTTTTTTGGAGGCTGCACTGCACTGGCATATTGGGAATGGAAGGTCTATGAAGATTTGGAAAAATATATGGATTCCAAGGCCTTACTCTTACAAAACTATTTCTGTTGCAAAATTCCTGCATGCTGATGCTAAGGTTTGCTCTCTCATTTATGAAGTTTTCATCAGACAGTGCTTTTTTTGGATTTTGAAGTTGAGTTGATATGTAAAATCCCTCTTTGCCCAAGGCTTGCTTATGATATACTGGTTTGGCGCTTTACTAAAAATGGCCTTTTTTTCTGTTTAGTTGGCATATCATTTGGAGATGGTTTTGTGAAGCAGAGAAACACAAGTCAGGTCAGATGCTGGGAGTTTTGAAAGGGCATTTTCAAAAAAGATTTGGTTGCTGAAATTTCTGCATAAAGTGAAAATCTTTGCATGGAAAACATGTTCGAATATCCTTCATGTTCAATCAAAGTTGAGGAGGTGCAAATTAATTCAATTCAATGACTGTTGTTTCCCTTTTGCTGCTGAAGTTTGGTCTTTTAGCCCTCTTTACTCTGTTCTAACTATGCCCTGCTTAAAATTTTCTATTCTTGATCTAGGAGTTTAGCCAACAGATGGCTGTATCGCCTTTGGGATTATTCTTTTTTCATTTGCTGGAGTATTTGGAACAATCACAATGATTGGGTTTTTTGCTTGGTATGTGGCTGATTACTTACAAGGTTATAACAATACATAGCTCAAGGTGGCGACTCTTGTTCAGCAAAAACATGTTTCTGTTGGGAAAATGGTTTATAACCATGAGGTTTTGCTAAATTTGGAGCCAAAATTAAGTGGAACCCACTTATTATTTTTGGTCGATCCAAAGGCAAAGTTGTTCATAGCTATGTGAAGATAAATATTATGTATTTGGTTGGTGAAAACCATTTACGGGTGAATGAGAAATCGACGCCAAAGTGAGCCATTGGAAATGACTCATGTTGGTGGGTTTCTACGTTTGTTGTTATTCCCTTGTCCCACATAGGAAACAAGAAGGAAGATGAAAGGATTTACATAATCTAAGTTCCTAGAAAGGCTTGGGCACTAAGGGCACCCAAGTTTTGTAGAGGGGGAGGACCTAGACAAAGCTAACCCTACTGGTGACCACCATACCCACTGGCTCAGATCTGGGTTGGGTCAAGGTTGTGCGTTGGGTCAAAAGATATTTGTGTATATATTTTTTGCAAGGAATTTTTTTAATTATTTTTTTCAAATTCCCTCCAGTTTTATTTCTTCTTCTTCTTGTTGAACAGGCGTGTCTGTTTAGATTCAAACAAAAAGTTTTCAATGGCAACCCTTTGCCATTGTTGCACTAGTTTGGACCTTTCCGAACAGGTTCCTAACAGCCTATATAAAGGCAACCCATTTCCACCAGATCTTAGCGACGCTTGTTTGGACTTCGCTGCTTCCAAGGGCCAAGTCCTGACGGAGATGTTCATTCTCAGCAATCATATTCTCCAACCTCTGTTCGTTTTGCTTTGCTTGCTCCATAATCGCTTGCATTGCCTCTTGTGCTGATGTCGAGGGTGAACCGAAGTTCAAGGCCTTCTTGCGGTAATATTCTCTAGCCAAGCATGTTGCTTGAAGTGGTTTCATCTTGCAGTGTATGGTCGACAGTGACTGCCGGAGGATCTCTCCATGCCCGCCATTGATATGCTTGAGCATTCCCATAGACGGCGCCAATTGTGGGGAGTGGTTTGGAAAATACTCTTCTGATCTTGGAGACGCTCATGATCCTCAGCTAATCACCTGAAAAGGAATAAATACTCCGGTCGGGGATGCCGGATTAG